CACACACACAACACACACAACACACACACACACACACACAACACACACAACACACACAACACACACACACACACACACACACACACACACATACAGACGCGTGCGCGTGCACGGGCGATGCGTGAAATACCTACCATTTCCGAATTCGAATTACTGCCGCCACTGCTGCAAGGGCATCACAGAAAGATGTGTGCCCCTCGTGAGGGCATTTCAAGGATGGACCGACGAAATGCAACCAGCGGTCCAGTAAGGGCATGTCGGAAAGTTAAGCCCCATGCTGACAGGGGCCTGCGGAAAAGTTCAGTGGCCCCAGGGGCATACCAGGGGAAGTCGGCCGTCACAGGGGCACGCCGCAAATAAACACAAACTTCAGGGGCATTTCGAAACATTTCCCAAAACAAAATGACAGCAGACAAAAAAAAGAAAAAAATAATAATAATAAAAAAAAGAAATTGAGAGCAGAACCTCACCAAAAAATAAGGGAACGTTTTTTATATGCACCTGCGAGTTGGATTTATTTGCAGCGTGGCCCTCTGACCGACAACTTACCCTGTCGCACCCCTCAGACAACTATTGAAGTTTCTTTTCTTTTTTCTTTTTTTTTTTATGCGTGTCATCCTTGCGCAGGGGCGAGGTCCCACTTGCACGGATTAGGAGATTGCGGCCGTTGATCTTCGCTATAGACGGTCAGTATGGCATAATTCGTGCAAGTGGGACCTAGCCCCAGGGGCCATGCTAATCTTTCTGTGTCCGTAACGTTTCAATTTTAATGGATGTCCCGAAGGACAACTATTGACGTCCCCGGAAAACCCCTGGTGTCGTTTGGGCCTGAATTATGTGCAATATGCCCCTACCGGTACCCGTTCCAAATTTCCAGTATGACCCGGTAGCTCCCCTCCCAGGGCCAGGCGAACGGCCGGGAGTGCCCTCATTGGCCGGAGGAAAGTTGCACCCCTCAGTGACAGGGACCTGCAGCGAAGTTCAGAAGCCCCAGGGGCACAACGGGGCAACTCGGTTGTGGGAGGGGCACACAGGCAATGAATCGAACTTTCAGGGGCATATCGAAACTTTCTCCTCCTTTTTTTGTAAGCTACGTTCTGCGCTCAATTTCACCACCTCACACAACCTACCTACCGCTACCACTAAGGGCGTCGCCGCACGGGACACGAAACGAAAAACGAAACGAGTGCATCTTCCTGCAGAAAATGGCCATGTTCATCGGTTTGCTATAAATAGTAACGACTCTAACGAGTGTATTTTACCACCTTTCGCGGCCAGATGCGCTCGTTTCGTTTTCGTTTCGTGTGCCGTGCCGCGAGAATAGTCATACGAGTACCCCCGTAGCAGCCAGAGCGCCATTTCGGCAATATCTAAGCAAACTGCCCATCAACAAAAAAACGGAAAATAGAAAGCCCATTCCATGACCCCTACGTACAGCGGAACGACGCAGTCAGCCCTACCCTATATCTCCCGCGTCATAATATACGATATACGACGATGAAATTGAGCTTCTCTCTCCTTGCGTTTGGTAAAACCGCACACCCCTACACACACACACACACACACACACACACAAAACATATAGCCAATTAGCGAGCGAGGCGCAAGGCAACAGCTAGATCGACTTCAGATAGAGCACCTTGTTCTTTCTGTTTTGGGAACCGAACGTCCGCGCGGAGTTGCTATGCTTTTCTACCACGTAGCCATTTCTCTCGTGGCTCCGGATGAGACAAGAAGGGACCAGACTATCGAAGTGGGTGTGCGGATCGGCATAGAGAGTGGCAGCTTGGCCTTCGGCCGCTAGATTCTCTCTTTTTTTTTTTTTTCTTTTTTTTTTTCTGTTGATGGACCATTTCTCGATTCATGCGTGTCATCCTTGCGCAGGGGCCACGCTAATCTTCTCTCCTGTATCGTTCGGGGCTATGCCAATCTTCTTTCTGTGTATCGTTCGGGGCCATGCTAATCTTCTCTTTCTCTGTATCGTTCCAATTTTAACGGATGTCCCGTAGGACCTGGATTCTCTTTTCGTCAATCGTGCACGATCATATCGGGCGAAATCGAAATAGAAATAGTAATAGAGAATCCGAGAGAGAGAGAGAGAAGAATCGATAAGAGGGCAGCGTGATTACTGTGCCAACCGAGCGCGGGTAAATTGGAGACGCTTGCTGATGTGGAGAGCAAGTGGAAAGAACTTGGGAGCCGAAGATCTTTAGTTGTTTTCAAGATTTGAAACCGAGGTATGCCTCAATTCCAACCTGGGACCCAATTGAATGCGTGAACTGATGAGGTCCTGCTCTTTGTGTTTATCGCTTTGTCGCGTTCGGAAAAACAAAGAATTCTAGAAATCCTGTTCTTGTTTTTATGGTGGTACCCTTCCTCTCCTCCCTCTCCCTCGCACGGCGACCCCTTTCGTCTCTCTCTCTCTCTCTCTCTCTCTCTCTCTCTCTCTCTCTCTCTCTCTCTCTCT